CCTAATGGAAGAACTCAAACGTTCAAAGGATACTTTATTTTAGCAAAGAGGCGTGAAGCTAAAGAAGGGGGGATGATGCAAGCACGTTTTTAACTATAAAGGGAGTACTCTTGAACATCTTTTAATGCATTTACTTTATAATAGCCTTATAATATATACTATTATATTACATATCATGCTAAGGATATTAGTTATGAAGTTAAAGAATAACTTAGTTTGAATAAATCTTACACATTGTTATTTTATGTTAAGCATGTTAGGATAGCTATATAATTATATTATGCATGATTATAACATATACATCAAGGCAGCATACTTATAATGCATTTCATTTGTTCATTTGCATTCATATTAGCTCTTAGGCTTTATACCTTACCTTACACATATTAGGAGATGATATAATTAGCTCATGACATTCAAACTTAGCTCACATTACCATAATCAAACATGGTTGCAAGGTAATTAGCTCATATTAGCTCAATACCAGGGAATTACCTTGTTTCCTTGCACATGTAGGTACATTGGAGCATAATGAACGTTGAGGTTTCTTGGTGAATGATTTGGACGTCATATGCAGCTCACAAACAGCTTACAAAGTACAAGGCAGCTCATGGAACACTAAGGGAAGCTCAATTCAGCTGGAGGAGCTTAAGGCTAGCTAAACTTAGCTAGTTGGACTATTTGGAGCTGAGTTGCCAAAAGTGATATCAAAGTTAGCTGAATATAGCTGAATATGCTGTTATGGAGCTTATAAGGACTTAGCTAGGAAGCTTGTTCACAAACAGCCCATGATTGCTAGCTAGCTCCACAACTCAAGCTAGCTTGGAGGAGACACATGCATGCCCAAGAGAGAGCACATGACGAGGCATCATTCCATGCGCAAGGATGCACCACAAGCATCCTAGAGGAGCCATGTGCACGCCTTGTGACCAGCCCACCAGGTGCTAGGCGTGTGACTTCATTTAGGCACCAAGATGAAGAGTCCTCTCACTATTCGGCCAAGCACTCCTTTCTCTCCAATTTGGCTCCAACTTGAAGAGATACAAGAACTATTCAGCCAAGGGATATTTCCCTCCATTTAAATCGAACCATCATCTCTATTTGTAATTAAATTATGTCTCTATAGGAAGGAACAAGGCTGGCCGAATACTCTTGTAACCATTCAGCCTTGTCTCTCTATTTCCTATAAATAGGAAAGCGTTCACCATGATACAAGCACATTTTCAACTATAAAGGGAGTACTCTTGAACATCTTTTTAATGCATTTACTTTATAATAGCCTTATAATATATACTATTATATTACATATCATGCTAAGAATATTAGTTATGAAGTTAAAGAATAACTTAGTACGAATACATCTGATGTGATCCTGTTTAGCAGCAACTTTCTGCATGACATACTCACATCATTGAAGAACCATCAAACTCAATATAAGGGAGTTCTACCATACTTTATATTATATTTACTTATTTATGCACTATATATATTATTATGAGCATACATTTGCATATTAGACTATACTTGAATTATCATAGTATGTGCATTCATTCATTATATCCTATGGTTTGTATCATTGATTGATATTCATGTATATAATCTATAGTTATAATATTAATATTCATTCATTATCATATAATGCATGAGTTATTATTATAACCTATAGTTCACATCTTTATAATATGCACATCATTATATTATATGCATTATATAGTTTATATACTTAGTTTATTTCTTTATGTTATGCATATAGGAATATTCGGCCAACACTTGGGAGCTACATTTGAGCTTAACTAAGGATAAGGAGCTAGGAAAACTTACATAGGATGCCTCGGGAGATCATGAAGAACAAATGGTGAAAAGTTATCAGCTGACCCCCGAGCTCATAGCTCACTTGAGCTGGACCTTTGAGCTAGCTAGAGACCTCATTTCAGCTGGAGAGTTGCACCATCATCACCACCACACAAAGTACTTCAAATATGGTCTAAGTCAATTTTTGTGGATTCGTACCTTTTCGCGAAGAGTTGCCATTCTAAGAGGTGCCTTTTCACAATGAGCTGCCCAAAGACTCATCTTCATGTAATTCACCTATGACCAGCTCATACACATGGGAAGTAGCTCAAATGATGAAAGGTTACCTTCCACAAATGTGACCTTTCATGACAAGTTGCTGCCCATTGAAGACCATGACACCTAGATGTATGTTGGAAGCCAAGTCATGCCTAGTTGCTGCCATCTTCATTCCATGGACTTCAAGACATTATCCTATGGTTGCAACCTCACCAAAGCCTTGCAAGAAGACCCATGTGCGTTCAAGTAGGTTGCCATGTGCATCATTCAAGCATGTGCACTCCATGTGACATCAAATAGGCGCCAAAACACCAAGGGATGCTTCCTATTCGGCCAAAGACTTATTCCTCTCCATTTTGGCACCTAAATGACTTCTAAAAGCATTAAAAATATCCTTAGGCCGAACCAACACCTTATTATTCGGCCAAGAGCATGTATTGATGTGAGCACGTCTATGCCAACAAAGGAAACTGATCCGGAGGTCTTACCCATAGGACCTATCACACGTTCTAAGGCAAAACAATTCAGGGAAGTTCTTTCTCTTAAGTGTTTGCAAATTAATAAATCAATTCATAATTGTCATGCCTTAGAAATGAAGATTCTTAATGTGTTACATACTGATGTGTAACACCACCTTAGTTATGCTAGGGAAACATATGCATTTTATTTACATTTCATGTTAGCATATACATTTATCATTTCATGTGCATTTTTTTTACATTCACATAATAGCATGATCATCATTTGTTATGCATAACATCATGGTTAGTTAATTCACGTGTTTCATCATTTGATTTGCATAAACAACATATTTACCATTTGTTTAGCATGTTTCACGTGCACCCACATTCATATAATAACATGTTCATCATTTGATTACATAACAGCAAGTTTAGTTGCTTTCACGTGCACCCACAATCACTTTTCAGCATGTTTCTTTTTATTATCATTCATGTGCACTCATTTTAGTTTTAATATTTAATTATTTTTAGTTATTATATCATGCATGTTAGCTCATAATAACACATACATGCACAGCAGCAAGATATTTGATTCATTCCAGTGGACAGTTCACGTCACTTATATTTATCACCAGTTTTGAACATGTTACAAGCATAATTGGGAGATTAAGTCTCTTAGAATTTAATCCCCTATCTCTTAGCTTTCCAATGCATTTTGAATCGTGTCAATCCGATACTGGAAGCTTGAGATATTCACAGATTACCGAAGACAGTACAGGCTGGAAATAAATACGGGATTTACAACTAAATTAATCATTCCAGCACATTTAATTTAAATACTTGCTTATTATCTTCTTTGCACATGTAGGCACGTCAAAACAGCCTGGATAAGCATTATAAAGACATAAATAAGTCCATGATTGGAGGAGACAAAGAAACCAGCTGAAATCAGACCCATACTTTGCTGACTATATTATCACTCACGTATGTTGGAGGGAACCCATAATGTTGCACATGTTTCCAGCATTTATTTGCACCAGAATATTATCCATCAAAACAGTCCATGTGCGTATGCTCCTTTCCACTACCCAACCATGTGCGTGAACCAACTAAGCAATTATTTGAAGGATCATACGTGCTGATCATCCAAGGAGACATATACTTTGAAAACAGCCCATGTGCTTGGCACTAAGCTGGATGATGCTTCCACTTAAGCATCAATTTGAAGGAACGTGAGTATTACCTGGCCATGAAGAGTTGTCTCCATTTTACACCGAATCATCACTTGAATTCATGGAGAATTATGAACTGGAATGTATTATTTGTTAGACGTAATAGCTGGCCAAAAACACTATGTGTTATTCGGCTAAGCATTTGAAACAGATTAAATAAGCTTGTAATTTCATTTTGGAAGGAACTTGGATAAATTAAAACTTTGTGAGTTATTCTCTCAAATTGGTTCTTCTTAGAACTATTTTCTTGACATTTCAAGATTGTTCTTGTTGTGTTAAGTTTGTGATACTTAGGGTTCTTAGATTACTATCTAAAGGGTCCAAGTCCTTGAACATTGGACGTATAAGGTTCGGGTTTATACTCTTTAGTATAGGTTCTTCCTTGTTCTTTGTTATTATCCAATTTCCAGCATCCTAAATTCCATTACCTCATCTATCAATTATCATTCCTTATTCAAATTTCGTTCATATCCATATCCATATAACCCCAACATCATCCTTACTATCAAGTGAGTTTGCTGCCGAGGAATTGCTTACTTCGTTCTAGATCCGGTACAATCGAAGAGGTCCTCAATCGACGGATTGACCCGTATCATATGGTATCAGAGCAAAGGCGAACCAAGTAAGAAATTCATCCTGAAAATTAAAAAAAAAAAATTCCGAAAATTAAAAAAAAAAAAAGAAAAGAAAAAGAAAAAGAATTCTGGTCTTGAGCTAAAGAGAAATGCTTTGAGTTTTGATTCAATCCAAAACGCAACATCTTTGATTGTATTGGTGACAGTCCCGTTGTAAGCATTTCTTTGTAGTAAGTTTACTAATCACTTTCATTTTTTTTCTTTCTTTAATTTCCTTTGAATTTTAGCCTTCCTTTCATTATTTTTTTTTTCAGTTTCCATTAACCGTTGTTGTTTCCTTTAAGCCGACACACTTGACAGATTTTTGAAAGATCGAATTTAGTTCGTAAAAGAACTGACTACGAGGGAACGAGTGGAAAAGGCACATTGAGTGTGTGAGATCAGAAGGGGAGACAGAAAAGAGCCATTAAAAGTTTCTCCCGAGTGAAACACGAGTGTTGAGTGATTGAGTGTCAACTTTGATTTCCTTGGAGCGAAATTGTGAGAATCTTTGTGTGTATATTGTAAGGTCCTATATACACTAATTTTTTTTTTCTTTGTGTGTTGTTTTGTTTTATTTGTATGATACGGGTCAGTCCGTCGATTGAGGACCTCTTCGATTGTACCGGATCTAGAACGAAGTAAGCAATTCCTCGGCAGCAAACTCACTTGATAGTAAGGATGATGTTGGGGTTATATGGATATGGATATGAACGAAATTTGAATAAGGAATGATAATTGATAGATGAGGTAATGGAATTTAGGATGCTGGAAATTGGATAATAACAAAGAACAAGGAAGAACCTATACTAAAGAGTATAAACCCGAACCTTATACGTCCAATGTTCAAGGACTTGGACCCTTTAGATAGTAATCTAAGAACCCTAAGTATCACAAACTTAACACAACAAGAACAATCTTGAAATGTCAAGAAAATAGTTCTAAGAAGAACCAATTTGAGAGAATAACTCACAAAGTTTTAATTTATCCAAGTTCCTTCCAAAATGAAATTACAAGCTTATTTAATCTGTTTCAAATGCTTAGCCGAATAACACATAGTGTTTTTGGCCAGCTATTACGTCTAACAAATAATACATTCCAGTTCATAATTCTCCATGAATTCAAGTGATGATTCGGTGTAAAATGGAGACAACTCTTCATGGCCAGGTAATACTCACGTTCCTTCAAATTGATGCTTAAGTGGAAGCATCATCCAGCTTAGTGCCAAGCACATGGGCTGTTTTCAAAGTATATGTCTCCTTGGATGATCAGCACGTATGATCCTTCAAATAATTGCTTAGTTGGTTCACGCACATGGTTGGGTAGTGGAAAGGAGCATACGCACATGGACTGTTTTGATGGATAATATTCTGGTGCAAATAAATGCTGGAAACATGTGCAACATTATGGGTTCCCTCCAACATACGTGAGTGATAATATAGTCAGCAAAGTATGGGTCTGATTTCAGCTGGTTTCTTTGTCTCCTCCAATCATGGACTTATTTATGTCTTTATAATGCTTATCCAGGCTGTTTTGACGTGCCTACATGTGCAAAGAAGATAATAAGCAAGTATTTAAATTAAATGTGCTGGAATGATTAATTTAGTTGTAAATCCCGTATTTATTTCCAGCCTGTACTGTCTTCGGTAATCTGTGAATATCTCAAGCTTCCAGTATCGGATTGACACGATTCAAAATGCATTGGAAAGCTAAGAGATAGGGGATTAAATTCTAAGAGACTTAATCTCCCAATTATGCTTGTAACATGTTCAAAACTGGTGATAAATATAAGTGACGTGAACTGTCCACTGGAATGAATCAAATATCTTGCTGCTGTGCATGTATGTGTTATTATGAGCTAACATGCATGATATAATAACTAAAAATAATTAAATATTAAAACTAAAATGAGTGCACATGAATGATAATAAAAAGAAACATGCTGAAAAGTGATTGTGGGTGCACGTGAAAGCAACTAAACTTGCTGTTATGTAATCAAATGATGAACATGTTATTATATGAATGTGGGTGCACGTGAAACATGCTAAACAAATGGTAAATATGTTGTTTATGCAAATCAAATGATGAAACACGTGAATTAACTAACCATGATGTTATGCATAACAAATGATGATCATGCTATTATGTGAATGTAAAAAAAATGCACATGAAATGATAAATGTATATGCTAACATGAAATGTAAATAAAATGCATATGTTTCCCTAGCATAACTAAGGTGGTGTTACACATCAGTATGTAACACATTAAGAATCTTCATTTCTAAGGCATGACAATTATGAATTGATTTATTAATTTGCAAACACTTAAGAGAAAGAACTTCCCTGAATTGTTTTGCCTTAGAACGTGTGATAGGTCCTATGGGTAAGACCTCCGGATCAGTTTCCTTTGTTGGCATAGACGTGCTCACATCATCCAATCCATCATGCATTACCTTCTTGTCAAACTGCCATGGACGTCCCAACAATAAGTGAGTGGCATCCATCGACACAACGTCACACGTTACTTCATCCTTGTATTTTCCAATGGAAAATGGTACAAGAACTTGTTTGGTAACCCTTAGCTCTCCCGCATCATTCAACCACTGTAGTTTGTATGGATTGGGATGCTTCGTTGTCTTCAGACCTAGCTTATCAACCATAACAGTACTTGCAACGTTAGTACAACTACCGCTATCGATAATTACAACACATACCTTGTCATTCACAAGACATCTTGTGTGAAAGATGTTCTCGCGTTGTTGTTCATCTCGGATTGGTTGTGCATTCAAGCTTCTTTTAACCACAAGTGCTTCTCCGGTTGCATAAGTCTGTACTTGATCGTCATCTTCATTATCGTCCATCAAAGGGGTGTCTTGCTCATCATTGTCAGATTCGGATTCTATTTCCCCATTCATACGTGTCATCATTGTCCTTCGGTTAGGACATTGACTTGCAATATGCCCTCTACCAAGGCATTTGAAACATTGGATGTCTCTTGTGCGTTCTGTTTGTATTTGTTGCTTTCCTCGTCCATTTTCAACAACGGGAGGTTTTGGACTACTCGTTTCCGCTCTTTCCTTAATCTTAAATGGTGTTTGCTTCCTAGCATTATTAGGAGTAACAGATGGATTAAAGGAAACTTTAGAAGGAGTATTACCTCGGTAAGAAGACTTTCTACGCTGTTGTCTTTCAATTTTGATGGCCATATGCACCATGTCATCCAACTCGACATAATGCTGTAACTCAACAACGTTAGCAATCTCAAAATTCAACCCTGCAAGAAAACGTGCCATAGTTGCTTCTTTATCTTCCTCCATGTTTGCACGCATCATGGCCATTTCCATTTCCTTGAAATAATCTTCAACACTTCGATTTCCCTGAATCATCATGAGGATGGTGGGATAGCTTTTCCTTCAAATCGTTTATTTGCAAATTGGAGAGTGGCAATTTCTTATCAAGATTGCAAAGATACTTATCCTCGCAACTCAATACATCAATTCCACGTTTTTGTATCGTCCCTCCAAATAGTAAATAAAAGTTAGTAGATAAATCAATAACAAAAGAGTTAGAAAGATTAAACCTTGGATGATACTTGATGATATCATTGGGTACCAGTTCCTTGGGAATAGAAATTTTCATTAAGTCCTTCTTTGAAACATTGCTAGAGCATGGACGATGCTCGATCATCAATATGGTTGGCGATGTGTTTATCATGTTTCTGGAAGTACTCGTCTTGTCCTCCTGCAACAATGAAGATCCAAAAATAGAAGAAGAATGGTTAAGGTTGTTAGTGCAAATTGAAATTTTACACTCTTTCTCCTTTGCACAAACAATTTCTTTTTCAAATTCTTCATTTTCACTCTCATTCTCATTTTCGACTCCAACATTTCTCACATCGATTTTCTTATTTTCATTGCTCTCAATGTCGTTTTCAACTTTCACTTCTTTATTTTTGCAAACACTTTCTTTTTGTAGTTGTTCTTGCAATTGTGTTTCTTTGACGAAATTGTCAACACACTCTTGAAGACGAGCTAGACTTTCTGGATTAAAACATGCAAAATTTCTTGGCTCTCTTCTCGTTGAACTTTTGACATTGCTTCGGAAATTGGAATCCTCTTCGTAAGATCTTTCGTTCCAATTGGATGTAGGAACGGGTCGAGTGTCGTCTCTCCTCTTGATTTGGCCCCTGATCTTCGGCGGAGGTGTTTGTGAACAAGAACGTTTTTCGATTATACGATCCATCGTCTTTATGATTGGGTTGAGACTTTCTTTGAGCAAACTCCTCAATTCTCGACTGAAATCTTGAAATTGAGAATTTGATAAAAAATCTCGTTCGTCATCTACTGTATAATCATTTGATCTTGTGTAAACAACATATTTACCATTTGTTTAGCATGTTTCACGTGCACCCACATTCATATAATAACATGTTCATCATTTGATTACATAACAGCAAGTTTAGTTGCTTTCACGTGCACCCACAATCACTTTTCAGCATGTTTCTTTTTATTATCATTCATGTGCACTCATTTTAGTTTTAATATTTAATTATTTTTAGTTATTATATCATGCATGTTAGCTCATAATAACACATACATGCACAGCAGCAAGATATTTGATTCATTCCAGTGGACAGTTCACGTCACTTATATTTATCACCAGTTTTGAACATGTTACAAGCATAATTGGGAGATTAAGTCTCTTAGAATTTAATCCCCTATCTCTTAGCTTTCCAATGCATTTTGAATCGTGTCAATCTGATACTGGAAGCTTGAGATATTCACAGATTACCGAAGACAGTACAGGCTGGAAATAAATACGGGATTTACAACTAAATTAATCATTCCAGCACATTTAATTTAAATACTTGCTTATTATCTTCTTTGCACATGTAGGCACGTCAAAACAGCCTGGATAAGCATTATAAAGACATAAATAAGTCCATGATTGGAGGAGACAAAGAAACCAGCTGAAATCAGACCCATACTTTGCTGACTATATTATCACTCACGTATGTTGGAGGGAACCCATAATGTTGCACATGTTTCCAGCATTTATTTGCACCAGAATATTATCCATCAAAACAGTCCATGTGCGTATGCTCCTTTCCACTACCCAACCATGTGCGTGAACCAACTAAGCAATTATTTGAAGGATCATACGTGCTGATCATCCAAGGAGACATATACTTTGAAAACAGCCCATGTGCTTGGCACTAAGCTGGATGATGCTTCCACTTAAGCATCAATTTGAAGGAACGTGAGTATTACCTGGCCATGAAGAGTTGTCTCCATTTTACACCGAATCATCACTTGAATTCATGGAGAATTATGAACTGGAATGTATTATTTGTTAGACGTAATAGCTGGCCAAAAACACTATGTGTTATTCGGCTAAGCATTTGAAACAGATTAAATAAGCTTGTAATTTCATTTTGGAAGGAACTTGGATAAATTAAAACTTTGTGAGTTATTCTCTCAAATTGGTTCTTCTTAGAACTATTTTCTTGACATTTCAAGATTGTTCTTGTTGTGTTAAGTTTGTGATACTTAGGGTTCTTAGATTACTATCTAAAGGGTCCAAGTCCTTGAACATTGGACGTATAAGGTTCGGGTTTATACTCTTTAGTATAGGTTCTTCCTTGTTCTTTGTTATTATCCAATTTCCAGCATCCTAAATTCCATTACCTCATCTATCAATTATCATTCCTTATTCAAATTTCGTTCATATCCATATCCATATAACCCCAACATCATCCTTACTATCAAGTGAGTTTGCTGCCGAGGAATTGCTTACTTCGTTCTAGATCCGGTACAATCGAAGAGGTCCTCAATCGACGGACTGACCCGTATCATGTATCTTCATTAAAAACATGTATTTTCATTTAAAAGTCATGTATTTTCAAAGGGGTTTCATCCATAGCCGAACCATCATGTACCTATTCGGCCTAAACCCTTTGAAAACTATAAATAGGCCTTGTCATTTCATTTTTAAGGATCTCATCTCATATATAAAAATTACTCTTGTGAGTTATTTCTCTTCAAAGTTCTTTGTGAACTTTATCGATTAAACAAGTATAGTTCCTATACTTGTGGCGTCATTCCTTCGATCTTGATTCCAAAATTCCTAGATTGATATCTAGTGGGTTGAAGACACTATCACCACCCCTCAAACAAGTTTGTGAAGACCGGGATTGTGCTCGTTAGCATTATTTCATCTTTGTCGAGTTTGAGATACATATCAACACCATCTCCATTTCATCATTGCCATCATCAACAACATCCATCAATACCATCAATTCCGCAACCATCTCTATCCTATCTTTATTTCATTTCATTACTTATATTATTATTCCTTTATTTAAGTCCATTATTAATCATATTTTCTTATCTTATTTTGCATCCCAAACTTATAAAATCAAGGACATCAGTACTTTTCAATCCTAGATCGGGACACAATAAGGCTATCTAGTCTCTTCCATCAAAGCATGTAGATTCGCCTTACATCAAGCGGTAATCAGAGCATAGTTGGATTGACAACAAAAGTGTCATTTGGTGTGCAAAGCTAAAGAAAAAGACTCCTACATCAAAATTGGAGTACAAAAAAAAAAGACAAAAAGAAGAAGAAAATTCAGAAAAAGAAAAGAAAAAAAGAAAAAGAAATTCAAAAAGAAAGCAAGCCAAGGAAAGTACTCTACCATTGCAAAGTACATAAAAGAGGCCATCTACACTAAGAGAAGATAACCTTACTGTTTCTTGAGAAAGGTTGTAGTAAGTGTTGTTTCTTGGATTGTAAGTCACCTCTTTCTTTTCTATACCTTCATTTTCCTTGTCTTCAACCATTTTATCTTTTAATACCTTTAAATCCTTTCTTCTATCTTTCCATTTCTTCTATTATTTCTACCCTAACCTATCTGCAGCCGACGCACACAAGGAAGGAATTAACTTGTTCTAATCTTGAGTATGATACGATCCGATCTGCCTCGACGATCGATTGTGGATCTAGGAAGGAAGCGAAGCAACCTGCATAAGATAAAGATAAGAAACGGATAGTTTACGGTGGTAAATGTGATGGTAAATGGTCAGTTTAAGAGATAGTAGCGGAAGACTCGGATTTGGTAATAATATGGATAACGAATTATGGGATGGTGAAACGATAGTATCTTAAAGAAGACTCAAAGAAGAACCGATGTTAGAGAACAACGACCCAAATTTATATTGCTTCGATAAGGGATGGTAAATCGGACTTTGACCCGCTAGTTATAAGAACTAGGAACCATAAGTATCAAGGTGAAAGTAATGACGCCACAAGTAACGAATTACTTGATAAGTCGATAAAAGTCACGAAGGACTCGATTAGAGAAAACTCTCACAATTTCATTAAAACAAAGTCTATATCCTTTTTTTACAATGCAAAATGAAGCTATTTATAAGATTAGAAATACAAATGAAACATGGACGTGTTCTATACTTTGCATGGCCGAATGTCCTCATGGTGGCCATTGGCGTGACCCCTAATTTGAGCAGAATTTCATGCAAGAATCGGTCAGATTGTTTGGTGGAGTGTGTTGGCCAAATGCTCCTTTGATAGCTGGTGGAAAACAACATTACGTGGAGACAAGGGCAAGTGGAGTTGTAGAAGCTTGTCCCCTTGATTGATTTAGCACGTGTAACTCCTCAATTGTTAGCTAGTGGAGACAAACAATTGTGTAATCACATGGGCTGTTTGGACAGATCAGCAAATGGCGTGTTTCATATCCAATGGAGAGCACGTGGGTTGTCTTCAATTGCAATTGTATGAATGAAGTTCTCCAGCAAGTTTCACGTGTGATTTGTCTTCTTTTGCTCAAATAAGTGGACATATGATAAGAACAAGTGGGTTGCACTTTCCAGCCGAACTCCCCTCTTATTCTGTCCAGAATTTACGTGACTTCTGAGCTGGAAGAGATCAAGACAAAACTCCATTAAACCGAGCTTCATGGGCACACTTTAAATGCTCCATAAGCTTCCAAAACGTTCTCCATTCTTTATCAACCCACATGGTCGTGTTATGTGCTGGATTTGTGTTCAAAGAATCCCTTAAAAACCGTCCAGCATGGGGCTGATCACTTGATGTTCCTAAATGATTAAAATAACAAGTTATTTTAATGTATAGTGCTGTTATAACAAGAACAAGTGCTGCCCATCACATGTTGTCTCCCACATATCCTTAATTGCCGTAGAGTGAGCTGGATAAGAGCTTCAATACGCTGCTCCAACTTGTGCTATATTTTAATAGCCTTGTTGTCGTTTTGTACCATGAAAATATGTTAAATAACCTCCTCAAAAACCGCCCAGTATGGAACATGAGCTTTGTGTTCCCTACAAGTGCAAAT